CCAAGGTCGGGTTGTAGGGGCAGCAGCCTAAGCAGGGAGGCCCAGACTTCCCGCTCTCCGGCCACATGGGCTAGCTACTCTGTGGGAATCTCAACGCGTTCCCTGGCCAGCTGAGGAATATAGTTCCTCCAGCGTGTCCTGGGTCTTTCTTTAGGTCTCCTCCCGGTTGGACGTGCCTGAAAAACCTCACCTGGGAGGTGTCCAGGAGGCATCCTAACTAGATGCCCGAGCCACCTCCACTGGCTCCTCTCGATGTGAAGGAGCAGCAGATATACTCCAAGCCCCTCCCAGAAGACTGAGCTTCTCAAGACTCATTTTGGCTGCTTGTATCTGCAATCTCGTTCTTTTGGTCACTACCCAAAGCTCGTGACCACAGGTGAGGGTAGGAGCGTAGACCGACTGGTAAATTCAAAGCTTCGCCTTCTGACTCAGCTCTCTCTTCACCATGACAGATCGGTACAATGCCAACAACACTATAGACACATCACCAATCCGCCTGTCGATCTCACGCTCCAGCATTCTCTCAGTTGTGAACAAGACCCTGTCCCTGAGATACATTAACTCCTCCATTTGGGCAGGACCTCATCCCTGACCTGGAGAAGGCATTCTACCCTTTTCCGATTTTGATGATTTTATAGTGAACATTTAAATTTATTTAACTCTTAAATAAATTAGGATTTGACTCGTAATCTTTAATTTGATTATCCTATATTTAGATTTAAATTGGAACACTCTTTTTTTATTATTTACTATTATTTGAATATTTATACAATTTGAATCTAAACATGCAAATCACAGCAGCTAATTTAATACAAAATAATAGGTAATTGGCACACAATGCATGTCGGATTATTTGGCTATAAAACAAGAATTGATTGCAACAATATTTAGAATGCTTGTTTAGTAGAAAATAATTTCTTTCAGTGTGATAAAGTCCCTGTGAGAAAAGATTAAGTGCTGCTGCTCTAACGAGATTTTCTCTCTAGTTCTCAAGTGTTGGAGAATTGGTTTGTTACTCTGAAATGGGGTCAAACAGAAAGTAAATTAACAGTGACCTTAGGTAAAACAAGATTACTGAGATATATACCATGCCATGCATTATTCCTGCTCTCAGCAGCATCATGCCGTTTGTCCCCAGGCTGTGAGCTAAAGACAATCCTCTCCTGGTGTTAAAAGCTGGAGCTGTAAGTCAGCACCAGGTGACACATTTATGTCACGAAGCTGCTCGGTGACACATGGCACATGTTAGGTTTAATCTGCATGTGCCGTGTTCAGGCTGCACCGAGACCTGAATTATTACCTGTTCTCATACTCAGATCAGCCATCACATTAAGACCACTGACGGGTGAAGAGAGGAATGCTGCTGTTATTGTGATACTATGTTCTGCTGAGAGTAACCTTGCATCCGCTTCAGTGTTACTTTCCTGTTTTATAAAACATTCTCCATTCAGTCATGAATTAGTATCATAAGCTGCTCCCAAAGTTCCAACTCAAGACTAGTGGATCAGTTCCAGATGCCTGTGAGGACTCCGTGTTTGGTTTGAGAAAATATTTGCCTTGCAAAAGTTTTGCTCCCATTTAATTACACAAAAGTCAGGCTCTTACAGTCAAGCAAAGGCTTGAACATTTAAAGATGTTGCAGAAATGCCTTTGCAAATGTGCAGAAGCCTGTGTCGTTTCAGGATGTGGCTGGCATGATTAGTGATCAATGAACTAGAGAAAAGTTTTAGAGAGGCTCAAATTTATGTAAATGGTTTTCATGACCCATGACGCCCAACACAAACCTCACTGGAGCAGGTGTTTGTAAGGTTGATGCAGGGAGGAATGTAGGCTGTCAGTAGGATGGTGAGAAAAGCCGTGGTTGGTAATAAAATTAAGACTGGGCAGAATAAAACTAGAGGAAAACAATTTTATTTTAGAAGAACACAGGGACAATAAATAAAACAACTGTGTTTGACCCCAATGTACACGTTTGTACAATAATTCATGTGTCTATGGTGCAGGTGGGTGTGACAGAAATAGGCTACGGGGGCGGACACACACACACACACACACACACACACACACACACACACACACACACACACACACACGCACACAATGAAACTAATTTATAGCAAAAACGAGTGAACGAGTTCTTTAAGTAGCACGCCATAATAATGAAAAAGCCTCAGACTTCCCCAGTTACCAGTCTGATTGGATCTTATCGTGTCTGTAGAGATAAAGCCCAATTACAGATCAAATAGGACCATCTGAAATTCTCCAACATGACCAGATCTATCACTCATCTCAAACATTAAGTGTCACTAGTGGACCCTCCTGTATTTTGTGTACATCGTCTCAAAGATGTGAATTTTGGGAAATTTGTCAAAAGGGCAGTTTTTAGAGTCTGGACCATCTTTTCTTGCCCTCCACTCATCTTTCATTTTCTAAAACACAAACTGGTCAACAACTTAGTAAAAAACTGACAGCGGTACAGCTATTCTGACAGTGCTGATGGTTGAGTGGCAGCAGACACACTGCATTGGATTGGCTGCAAATGTCAATTAGTTGTTGGTGTACCTGATGTTCAATGATTCATGGCAGGTTTCTTTATCAACTTTCTTCTGCCTTTTGTGAAAGGATGTGATTTCAGTTTTTCACGGTGCTTTAAATGGGTGTTCTGGCCAATCCCTGTGCCTCTTCCCCTCATGTTTTATTCATGCCGGTGCAGCAGCGAACAGGGCAGCGAGGCAACAGCAGCACTGAGATGAAATGATGAAGTGATGTTCGACGTGTGAAATGACCTTTCCAGTCTGGTCTGCTCGTCGTTGCCCTTCGACCCCTTCCTGCCTCGTTGTGAGGCTTCCTTTCTATCTGGGCTCATGTTTTCATGCTCCATGAAAGCAGAAATAAGAAACTCGTTTGGCCAGTCAATCAACCCTAAAGTGTTTATTCTAGCTCTCATTCTAGCTTCTTTCCTTTGGATTTTCTTTAATTGGGAACAAAGCATCAGGCTTCTTTCTGATGTTCCTTAAGCTACAAAAACAAAAGCTGTCACGAGGAGTACTAGTAACCCACCTTAATGGAATTAACCTTGGCGCTGACCACTTGGACCCTACAGAGACTCTTCCTCTACTGATGAGATTTGATTAAAAGCTATGAGTGGATGGTATAATTCCCCAATTTACTTGAGGAATCCAAAGGATGATCTGGTCACGACGTTGCATTAATGGATGTAATGGAAAGGTGCTTGTCCTTGGAGCTGGGAGACCATCGCCGGATTAGAACTAGTCAGCCAATGAAACGTTGAGCAGAATACATAAGGGCATGTTTGGTTTGAAGAGACAAAATCAGCAGGAGTGTTATTCAGCCTAACGTAGCTTGACTGGAGGCAGACTCATCTGGAAAGAAGGCTTATTGCTTAAGGCAACATTATTATCACACAGCGAACAGATGACATGAACACCTTCAACGTCTTATGTGTTCATTATTTCTGCAACACGTAAACAAGCTGCTGTTTTATGCTCAACACATCTAACACCAACATGTGTCATTTAATTTCTCTGATTGGCAGCAGTTGGTAATTATATTTCTAGTAAAATATTTACATTATTTTTACATGCTTTTTTCATGTTAATGTCACATGTTTAGTTTTCACACCCTGCAGCTTTACAAAAGCTAAACATACATCACAATGTCCAGCTCTGTTAGTAGCTGTGTGCTACGACTTGATTGTTTTCACGTCAAATGATGTCAGTGAAATCTGCAAAAAAGGAGAAAAAAATCCCCCCAGTGGCACAATGACTTTAATGCAGCAGGTGAGAAAACACCACCCCCCTTCTGAGCTCTACGCCCAGGTAGAGTTCCCTGTAGAAAAATGCAGAAAGTTGAACTCCACATGATGGAAATGCAGTTTTAGATGTTATACAGTTTTTGCACATTTACAGGTTAAAGTGTAATAGTTTCTTTCATCATATCATATTTCAAATATTTAGCAAAATGAAGTCTTCCTACACCTGCTATGTTTTTACCCAATATTTCTGTTTCTCACACAGCTGTAGCATTTATAGTTTTCCCTTAAATCCCTCAGGCTCAAAGTAAGTTTTGATAAAAGGACGAACTACTAAGTCCTTCAGAGGTACTTCTGAGTTAAAAAATGCTCATGAAATACGTATGTGGAGTAACCAGGTAGGTAGGTTTTAACGTTGGAAATCTGCAACGCCTGCCTCCAGAGGGTTAAATCCCTCCGAGTGTAGGGGACGCACTCCTAAACTTCCATAGGCTCTGGTTATGTTAAAGCTACGGTTATTCTCTGTACACGTGGAAGTGAAGGGTGTTTCAATTTGTCAAGTTCCTACAGGAAACAATGCAGAACCATAAAAACGTACCTGTGTGAACATCGGAGCCGTCTGCAGCTTGAGTTCAAGTTTTCACACAGGCCTGTTTGTCTGGGGCTAAAGTTTGAGTCTACTTTTCTGTCTTCATGTCATTAAAGGTGTGGGGCATTTGCGATGGTCTCTAGTGGGAGCGAGTGCCTTGTAAGTCGTGCTAGTTTCTACTAGTTGAGACGTTCTCTGCTGTTTCCTAAACCAACAACAGCCTTCCTCGTAGCAGTTGTTTTCGTTAACGAGAACGATGACGAATTGACTTCGGTGACGCCCCTTTTTTTCATAACAAAAACGAGATGCTGATGAGCTAAAAATAGCTCTTTGGTGACTAAAACATGACGAGACGAACAGGAGTTTTCATTAATGAGCCGAGACTAGACGAAAACTATGCACAAATCAAATTTCTGCCTGTCTCGCAAAAGTTAAAAGTAACATTGCTACTGCTCTGTGTCTGCCCTCTGCTCAGTAGGCCAGCCTCAGCAGATGAGTGAAGCTAGCTCCCCATCCACACCAAGGAGCACTAACCACTCTATTTGCATGGATTTCTGAAGTGTGTTGGAAGCCAACTTCACTCAGCTCGTCTCAGCGCTTCCCTGCCGCGGGAACGTGCAGTGCTCAGCCGCCCATTGATGCTACTACAAGCGATAATGCTGCTACTTTTAAACATATCCGTAATAATAACACATTTCTTATCCAAGTGGTTCCTGAAAATATCATGCTTTTGAGTAGATAAATAAAAAAATGTGCTTTTTAACAGGTTTTATCTCAAAACATTTAAGACGAATGTTTTAAAGTCAGTGTGGCAGGATTATTGTCTCTGCTCCCTGGTTCCTGATAACAGGTCACATTCCTGCTTTTTAACCCAACAGCATGACAGTTTAAGCCTGTCTAAATGTTTATGAGCATCTCTGCTGATGCTCAAGAGCAGAACTGGGTTATTTAGATTAATTCTGTAGGCTTCTGGAAACTCACAGCACTGCAGTCTGTGGAAAAACATGAATGCCTTTAAGTAGGTAGACTTTGCCACAATATACATTTAAGATGGAGGTCTGATAACTCAAATAATAAATGAAACAAACACATTTCTTTATTTCTATTTAAATATTGTGTAGAATACTCTGTATGATTCCTAAGAGTTCATTCTGTTAGGGAAAGAAAATAATACATTTATTTTGTGAAAATCTAAAATGATGCACAGATCTGCATCAATAAAGTATATACATTATTGTGATTATCAATAAAGTAAAAAATTGATGCCAGTCTGGGGATTATTGTTTTACAATATCTGGGACAGCTAGGATTGTGTCCCATAGCCATAAAACAAATGATGTTGGTACGAAACTCACTCCAGTAACTCAGAGTACCTCTGACCTATACATCAATTTGTTAGAGAATAATTCTTCTTTGTCGACTAAAACCTTTTTGAGATTTAGTCGACTAAAACTGACTAAGACTAAAACTTAGATGGCCGCCGCCAAAAACAACACTGTCTCGTCATGAGTCAAGATGGGTGAGTCCATGAATGTTAAGTGACAGTGTGACATAGACCTGTCGGGATTTTCAAATCGTTTCACCGTCTAGTTTCTATTAGAAGCTAATGCAGGAGATTGGGGTAGAAGACTATTTTCAAATTAAAAAATCTCTTTCGGGAGTATTTTTCTTTACCGATGGCACCATCTAGTGGCTGACAAGCATATCACACAAATAGTTTCTCAATCCGTTTTTTTTAAGATGGTGACTGCACCTTTCTACTTTATTTATGTGCTTCTGTAGCTGACAAACGGAGCTAAAACATGCTGTTTTACAAGTATTATTCTCATGTCATGTTGTGTTCTCAGATTTATATTTTAAAGACTTGTCTGTGAAAAGTTCATCAACTCTGCATCAGCTGAGGTAGTCCTTAAATTAAAAGCATGTAAGCGGTAGTCTAACGCTATTGGTTAGTTCTGATCGGCGCTCGGTTTCTGACGGAGGGTTAAGGTTAGGGGCGTGCTTAGCAAAAATAAAAAAATACATAAAAAGACGTATTGCTCACATTATATTACGTACATGACAATCATTTTTACAAATTTCTGAAAGGGGAACACTCTGGAAAGCTACTTTAAAATGTATTTTCAGGATGTGAAGGACAAAGGAATAGTTTCCACTGTGACCTTAATGAACCACCAGTTTTAACATTTCTCGAGTCATGAGTTCACCTTCGTTAATACATCAAATTGTAGACAATTAGCTTCAGATTAGATTATTACAAAGCTGATGTCTGAAGCTCAAGCTGTAGCTGCATTACCATCTTTCAAGTTTCCTTCATAGATTGTATCGAATGTTATTTTCATATATTTACTTTGCAATAAGAAGCAACCTCAGACTTCCAGTCTCTAAATCTGACAAACTGAAGATTGATGTTGCCAGTACTATGCACAGCATTTAAATGTCATAATCACTGCTATGTGCACAATATCAGTTTGGCAATGGACTGCAATAAATCACAGACTATTATATTCCAAGTGCCGTGCACTCATGGTTTGAATGCTGAATATGTGTTTGGTCAGTCTGATGGACTCTCACTGCCCTTGGTGCACACATTCAGTTTGGATGATGGTGATTGAGATGCTCAAACACAGAGAAATTGTTTTGAGTGTTGTGATGACAGAAATGCAATAGCTGAGGGAGAAAAAATGCGGGTTTTTTGCAACTGGTATCCTCTTTGCAATAATAAAAAACAAAATTACAATTGCAGATTTTGTGGATATTATGCAGTAAGAAGTGAACACATTTGAATTTTTTTTATCTTTCTCAAAGGCCCCACATGGTGGTTTGATTATAATCTGATCAATAGTTTGAGAGTGAAATCAAACATTAATTGAAACACTTTATTCCAGTAGAAAGATGTGGAATACTACTTCTTTCACATGCTTTCATTTATTTTCCCATTAATTTCTTTCAGGTCACTGCATCCCATCAGTGAATCCAGATTTCCTCCCTTCTGCCTGCTGCTAGAGAAGGTCAGCTCATAAACATTAGTGTTTCCACAAACACATACCGTAACGTAACATAACAGACCAGACCAGATCGGGTTGGGTTCTGTTCAGTAGAGCACTCCCGTGATGAATTACAGCACTAGAGGTCCATTTCTTAAAATGCTGCTCATTCTTCTCAGAGATGAGTCACTGCGTGAAGTTCATAATTCGATATCTTTATGACGTTCATGATTATGTTGCATCAACCTTGAACATCAGCCACACCGTGCTTTACAGAGTCTCTGTTTTCATGCACCTCAGACAGTTTGGTTCTGGGTGCCGTAGGTCTGGGACTGCAGATGTCTCTGCACCTTCACAGCCACTAAATAAAACTCTGAATTTACTTCTGTTTTGTGACAATTTTGAGTCTGTTTTACCTCTTTTTCATCTGTTTTCTGGGTTTAATCCAACCTACCTGTTGAAGGAAGGTCTTGCAGATAAGATTATGAATCAAACTTGCAAAAAATAAGCCTAACAATGATGTATTTTTAAACATTTGTTTAATTTCTTTAATTCCTGATAAGCTTTTGAATATGCAAAATCCAACAAAATGAAATGCTTTAAATTAATACACCTTAACTTTTAACATTTCTCATTATCAGTGGCCTTCAAAAAACAATCAGAGCATGCTGCAGCTAATTAAAAAGTATTAAAAACAACAACTGTATTTTTGCAAAATGCAAATTGGAAGCCTTTCATGCAGTGAGGAAAGCTGCAGGGTGGAAGGAGCGAAAGAAAAGACTTACCTTCTGTAGAGTGCACACATCTCACTGCACCCAGAAGAGAATTCAACCAATTTTCTCCGAGAGCATTCATTCATTGTTGTGCCTGCCACAGACAACACGGGGAGCACAGTCAAGAGATTTCCTACCTCCTGCAGTCCTCCTGCCTCCTCCGATGGAAAATAAAAATCACATTGGACCACCAACCTGATCCTCACAGGCCCCGCCTCCTACCGTATCCCCTTTTGACAACTGGGTGTGTTCACATGTGTGTGAGTTTAAAAAAATAAAAGCTGTGGATTCATGCTGGAACGCAACCTTAAAATCACCAGGAATTGATCCTTTTGATTCCAGGTAGCGGAACTTCCTGCAGGTAGCGAATCAGCTCAATCCAATAATTAAGGTTTGATTTATGAGGTGTGATAGAAGGTGAGGTGGCACTTTGATTAATGAGCTGTTTGACCTTTCAGGAGGTGAAAACAAGGAGATTCAATAAGATCCTAATTGCTATTTTAATATTAAAATATGGAGACATCAGCTTCCAAAGTCACCATGTCTGAAGAATTGAGGTAGCTGGAGTCTGACACCTGACTTTGAAACCTTACACTGGCTCATCTCTTGGGTTATCCAGTGCAAACTGACTGAAAATCCTGACTCAAACTCAGGACGCTGCAATGATTTCTATTAATTATCATTCTGAAATGTGTTTAGGAGTATTCAGGATCTTACGTGCAGAAGACGGTAGTCAGAGAAAACCTAATGTGGAGAATGAAGGAGAAATTGTCACAGAAGTCTAAACTAAAAGCTACTTAGTCGGAGCCATTGAATAGTACTTTTTCATTTTCTAAACACATAAAAGTCATTTCTAAACTTGCTTTTGTCTTTGCTGATAGATTGTATTTACAATGCATTTATTGTTCCTGAAACAAATCACTATTACTGATCATAAATACCCACAAAATGATCAAAGCATCGATGTGTAAAGAACAAGATTCAACACCCAACATGAGTTTAACAGACATTGCATGATAAATGTTCTCCCCTGCATGAATTACCATATTGGTTTCAGTATTGCACATTTAACCATTTTTGACACAACATTGTAAAGGATCAATCATGAAGCTGTGATGTCAGATATATCTGTATTTGCTCTGGCACATCATCCTGCAGAAATTCACAGGCTACTAAAGATCTGTGACAGAAGATCAGGGGTTATCAGTTTGCCGTGTAATTGGTGGGGTGTTGGGTCGAACCCAGGCTATGTCCATATTAGTCTTTAGGCGTGCTTCCACAATTCGGAAAACCAGGGTATACTTTTAAGGCACTGACTGAATTCCGTGGTACCTACTGAGAACTGATTCATGTGACATGAAACAACGTCTTGTTTTGGTACCTGTCCTTCATTTACAAATCTTGCGAACCGCCTCTGTCAGTGCGCCCCAGGGCAGCTGTGGCTACATGGTAGCTCATCACCATCAGTGTGTGGATGTGTGTGTGAATGGATGAATGATACACTGTAGTGTAAAGCGCTTTGGAGTTCTTACTCTGAGAGGCGCTATACAAGTGCGGGTCATTTATCATTAATCATCATTTGCCAAGATAGACAGTGTCGCGAGCGTGTCCTATTTGTTGGTTCCGTTAGAACCTAAGACTGCGCCGCTTTCTCAGGGTTCATGGGGCGTCTGTGAGTTTTATTGTATTAGACCCTGGTTTGGACTCCCTAATTAGAATCAGTTTACTATTTTAAGGTGAGAATGATATGCCGTACTCGTTATTTTGTGATAGCACACTTCCCTTTTGATTTCTCCTGTTATTTAATTGTTTTAAATACTGTGGCGGAAGTTCAGAAGGAGGCCGTCCTTACTGACAATTCTTTGGGTCATATTAGGATTAATTTGCGCCTCTGTCAGCTTTGTGGGCAGTGGTAACTAGAAAATGATTCCTGTTAGCTGATGAGACTAACATAGATATATCAATTAATCTAATTAATCCAACCTTCCCACGCTGGCAAAGACTTTTTCACACTTGCAAACAGAGCCTATTTTAACCTACTAATGTTTTGGCTTATCAATCCTTAGGATGTCTCGTTACTCACGGGAGAGGAGAAGACTAGCTTCTTCACCTAAGGTTTCTTTTCTTAATCTGTCACAAACTGTAAAGCAAATCCTGAAAATTCAGGAACCTGTAATTAAAATATGCTTACCTCTCCTATTGTTTTGGATCGGGGCTCCCACTCAAACCTTTAAAAAGGACCTTTAAGAATCAGGAATGTGGATTCTTTTTCCAAAAAGTTTATTACAAGATTAAAAAATACAAAAAATAAGTAGATATAAGACTGATCAGTTCCCCCAAAGAGAATGCTAATCCTAAAATTAACTAAGAATAATTAGTTGCCTTGCGCCAACTCTAAGTCTTCGTAACACATGCACTACTTCTTCAAGTCTCAGACTAACACCACGCACACTCTCTCTCTGCTGCCCATTTTATACTCATCATGGAAAATCCAAAAAATAAGTAAATAGAAAACTAACCTATCCCCTGTGGAGGATGCTAATGCTAAAATCTTCCTGAGAATAAATGGTTGACTTGTGTCAACACTAACCTGTCACTCTCTAACACTAGGTATGACTCTCTCCTTCTCTCCCCAACAACTGACCTCTTCTATCCCAGCTCTGCTCTGTCTCTCCACTGTCGACTGCCCCAACTCTGTCAGCTCTGCTTCTAGCTGCTCCTTTTATACTATTCTAAACAACTGCCAAGCAATATCTCAAACAGTCATGAGACAGCAAAACAATGTGATCATTTGTCAGTTTCTTATCTTAGCTTAACACAAGACAGCCAAACTCATATGATGTCACATTTGTAAACTGGTCTTCAGCTCCCCCCAAAGTCCAGAACTTTCCATGGAGGGCTTGTCCTCTTCTGAGATGCTTTATCTTCAGTTGATCTTCTTCTGTCCCAGCTTGGGTGCGTGTTGTTCATTTGGGCCCCTCCTTTTTGTCTTCTGGCTGATTTTACTCGCAGGAGCAAGTTCAGTGTACTTCAGTGTGGGTCCAATCTTATCTCTGTGGCCCACCTGTTGACTCCGTTTCTTGCCACTGTTTTTGGCATGTGGGAACTTGCAACAACAGCAGCGCATGCACAAGAGTGTAATGGTGTGTAGTGTTAGCATACGTATGTACTTTGGGTGTTATTTTAAGCTCAATATACCATACTACATTTGACCAATAAGATGTGAATTTCTTTTTTTTTATAATTAAAGTTTTTATTATTTTCAGTTTTTTTATAACGTACAAGAACATACCAAAAACAAAAGAAAACACACAGGCTTGTGACCCCTGCAATAGATCATTGCAAGAGCAACATTCATTTCAAATTCATTGATTTAAGCACAGGTTATTCAAACATTTGATTTAGACACCTTATTCATTCATCACATAAGATTATTTATATCATGAGTTGTAAGAGTCTTGTACAGTGGCGGCTGGCCAGTAGAGGGCGATAGGGCGCCACCCTCCCAGTTTTCCCCAGCGTTTTTAATTTTAATTTAAAAAAATAAATAAATAAAATTAACAATAATCACATATTCTAAGTTAATTGCGTGTTTTGTAACAAAAACAAATCATATATATATATATATATATATATATATATATATATATATATATATATATATATATTAGTGGTGTGCATCTCTACCTGCCTCACGATTCGATCCGATTCCGATTATCTACCTAACGATTCGATTTGAGTCTGGAATGCATCACGATTCTTCACAGAAAAATTTTCATTACTTAATAAAAGCAGTAGAATAGTTTTCAATTTCTTTTTGATTTCGAAATCCCTGAAAAACAGAACATTCATCTATTCACTATAGTGAGCAATAATGTTTAAAGTGTGCTGCCTATAATTACTTAAATAATATAAAAAAATAATGTTTTCGGTAGAGCAGCTTTAAGATAGAATATTACTGAACTTAAAAATAGTAAATACTGTGTTAAGTGATTCTTTCATATCCAGGATCCCAAAACCGAAATTAGCCCAGACATCCGATTTAAATGTAACGGGTACATCTTTGATTACTGGTAATGTTGGCCCCGTATCCCTGTCCGCCTTTTCTGTTTTAAACTGGCGCTAGGGCAACGCAGTGCGCATGTCATTGCACCTCTGCCCCCAGAAGTAATTATAAAACCTCAAAACTTTTTTGTCCTGCATAGACATAGGGGCAGGGGTCGGCAACCTGTTCCCATCAAAGAGCCATTATTACCCGTTTCCCACAGTAAAGAAAACACTGGGAGCCACAGCAGCTGCGGCGTTGTGGGCGGGGCCTACCCTCAGACAGCAGAGGGCTGCTTTAACCAATCACAACAGGTGACAGCAGCCAGTACCGGTCGCTCGTGTACGTCAAAGTTATCTTTCATAAGATGATAATCAATAAAACGATTTATATAAAGTGGATCCAGAAGTTGTAGCCCGTCTCTGCCGACAATATTTTGATATTTTTCACCCTGTTGGTGGTTTTACTGAGCAGGTGCCACTTTTGTCATACGTTTCTTTTTAAAACATGTTTAGACTGTTCAGAATACAAATCCAGGCTCTGTCACGTTTGATTGTTGTAATTAAACTTTGTAGGTGGGGAAGGTCAGAAAAGGATCTGATCATTTAGTTTTTCCCTCATTTACAGCGACGGAGACAACGGCGCGGTGCGCCTGGCTCTGGTGTTAATCACGTTTAATTATATCTCTTTGCAACAATTTTCACAAGAAAACAGAACAGTTAAAAGCAGGGCTTATGTTGTGTTGACCGGATAGTTCCCGTATTTAACCGTTTTTTTTGACGGAGAAAGAATAGAAAGAACTACCCGACGCAAGCAGACGAACTGACACTTTATTCGTTTCTCGCAGATGTAGCTAAATCACCCAAGAAATGATTCCCATCTGAGCTTGACACTGAGCTCAGCGCAGCTCGCTGTCAGCGCGTACGTTAGGCGCACAGCGAGCTGAAGTTGTGGAGAGGGGCTTGGAGCACGTCGCAGAACCAAAGCGCATGCAGGAAGATTCCTCCGACTGAAGCGAGACTTGTCACTTAGAAAATGTTGCCTGATTATGAAACTTTGGCTGAATAGTGCTTGTTCCTGTCTCCAATGTGGCGACACATCCAGGAGCTGAGGAGAATCCCAGAATCTCATGTCCTCGTCAGCTCAGAATGCGCCTTTATGATTGC